ATGTTATGGTCAATGGGCCCGGAAAGGTTGTGGAACACTGCTGTACTGTATGCTGATACTGTACTGGTATACCCAGGTTTTTTGAGTCGGGATCCTCAAAGCCATTGCAGTATAGATGCAAATACTGCTGATTTTCTTTTTTTTTATGAGATAAAATGCAGCCCCAACTTGGGACACATCGCCCTAGTCATAAATCAGCACCCGAGTGTAACTTTCACGTTTTGCATCACCGAAATAATAGAAACTTACAAAATCAATATACAGCACGGTACTACGTCGTCTATCACTGGAATACGGTTGCCAAAAGTGGGACATTTATTGCCATCAGGAGCATGTGTCAATTGTTTGAGTTATTAAATAGCACGTAAAAGTATGAAGCTTGCTAGGATGGTAAGCAGAACTGATTTTTGTGCAAGAAACGGAGTGCATTCAAATTTCTCTTTGCTCTCATTTAAAATCTGTGAGAATGAAAAAAAAAACTTGGGAATGTGGTCAAGAAATGATCAAATATTAATGTAGAAAGTATATTCATATCCAGCATCCGTTTACCAATATTCCGAAAAAGAAACACTGAAAAGACGGACTATGAAAACCTCCGCGTTGAGCGTCTTATGCAGCAATTGTAGAAAACATTTATATCGCTTAATTTTCAGCTTGAGCCCTAAAATAATTTCATAACTGCAACTTGAAACGCGCGAAGTCCTCAAAAGATTTTTCTAACTATGCTTTTTCATTGCCTAAAATATGGATTTCCCGGTAGAAAGAGAAGCAAAATGAGTGTGAGGTGATACTTCCGACCTCTGCAACCTGAACTCTATATGTATGGGCCTGAATTGTGTGTCTGATCTTAAATAAAGGATATAGCTCAACTAATTCAAACCATTTCGTCACCTGGCATGGGAAATTTGAGCTTGGGTTTTTTAAAACCACAACAACAATAAAAGTGTGCCTTCTTCTAACCAATGCTGAAAATTCCACAGGCACAGTTGGAGCGAGTCCGTGATGAGCTAACCCTGCAGAACCTGACCCTCAAGTCCCAGCTGAGTGACATGCGGATCAGACTAAGTGAGATCCCTGCAAGTCATAACCAATGCTGAAAATTCCACAGGCACAGTTGGAGCGAGTCCGTGATGAGCTAACCCTGCAGAACCTGACCCTCAAGTCCCAGCTGAGTGACATGCGGATCAGACTAAGTGAGATCCCTGCAAGTCCACCAGACAGTGGGATTGACCCAGATGCTTCCGGAACTTCGTCTTCTTCCTCAACTTCTTCGATCCCCATCAGCCCACGCCCTGTTTCCAGCACCAACAATAGCAAGGCTAAGCGTTATGCGACTTACAAAAAGGTCAGTTGAAAGCCTATCAAATATTTTGCCATGTGTATAATTCCTCAACTTCTTCGATCCCCATCAGCCCACGCCCTGTTTCCAGCACCAACAATAGCAAGGCTAAGCGTTATGCGACTTACAAAAAGGTCAGTTGAAAGCCTATCAAATATTTTGCCATGTGTATAGGGAACAGAGTCGATTTCCATGCCTGAAATTTCTGTGCATGTTCTTGTTTGGGTTGCCCAGAACTATTTTTTATTCTGATTTCAAGGGGTTGGAAGCCACATCTGGTTAAATAAAGATAAAACCCTGAACACAGCTCTGCCAAATGGGCAAAATTGCATATTCGTACCTATTAACTTATCAAATGTAGGAGGAAAGCTGTATCCTCTTGGAAGCCAATTTGTATTTTTGGCTAATTAAGTTTTTCTTTTGGTAACAAATGAACGTATACGGCAAAATTTTCTACCGCAGTAATTAAAAAGATTTTGGAGGAACAAAACTGCACCTGGAATAAATTTGATTGGGAAAACACTGAACTGATAGGTGACAACCAGAAATAGATCCATTGAAAGCACATTTGACTAAAAGGTAGCCAGGAAATCTGCATTATAAATGGTTAAAATATTGAATTCTACCACACAATCAGACCAAACTTGTCTGATGAGCACTGCTACTATCTTGAAGCTAACACCATGAATAGTTTGGCTTTTTTTTTATTGCGTTCTCACCTTGCCTATGTTGCATGAGTTCCTATGTGTGGGACCCAATGCATATGTGAGCCATTTGTACCCAATTTACTACACCCAAGCAGGTTGACCAATAATGCGTGATGTTTTTGCAGCAGGAATCAATTTTTTCCGGAGATCTGAAGAACATGCGACTCCTGATAGCCAGTTCAAAAAGGAACGAATCCGAGCTGAAGAAGCGCATTCACGAGTTGGAAGGTGAAAAGCAGGACCTGCGGCGGAGAAACGAAGAACTGCTTGGCTTGCTCGCATCAGCAACGAGTCCCAAGACCCAGCAGCAGGAGCAGCAACTGCTTCTGCAGCAACAGCGTGAGCAGGAAGGCAGTGCACAGTTGGCAGCTGCATTGCACCGTGTTCACGAGCTTGAGACCCAAGTTCAGCAAAGTGCAGCCTGCCTCGAGGAAGAGCGTTTCCTGCGAATGAGGTTGGTATAAGCCAGATGCTATTGTATCTTAATGATCCTATGCTCAGTTGTCCATTTCCGTTGAAGAGACAAATTTTAAAAAGGAACAAATGAAGCATTACAGGTCGATACTCTCCAAAAAGTAGTTTTGTTGAGA